ATACGGGTTTTGTTTTTTATAGGATAAATGGAAGACCCTAGTTCATACTGCAAGCATAGCCCCTCAGCAACGACGGGGAGAGCCTGTGCCACAGGAGATGCTGGATCGAGTCCTAGCCGCCCATGCGTATTGGTCACAGCATCAAACTAAACACGGAAAGCATCAAGTCGAACCTCTGCAAATCATCGATTCTCCAAGGGAGATCGTAGGAGCTTGAAGAAGGTTTATGATTGTGAAGATGAAAAATTTATGTAGGAAAATCAATATAACCATGAATTGTACAAATAAAGTATTATGTCTAAGTTTCATTTAGAATTCTTACACTGATTTGTTGGCTGGCCTATCATGGTGACTTCAGATTGACTGGCTTCTGTAAATGATTTGTGGAATAAAGGTTTATTTCTAACAATAGTCAAAGTGTTGACTTTTTTTGGTTTATTTCTAAAACAAAATTATTTTCATTTACTTGAGTTTTCCATGACAATTGGACGTGACCTTTTTCTATTCTCCTTTTGAAAAAATCGTCATTTTATTATATATTCTAACTGTTAAGGAATTTGATTCGTCGTACGAGTAATCAGTTGCCTAATGAAAATGACTAGCTTTAATTGCAGAATAAATCAGATCTTTTTCATAACCTTTTATAAAGAAATCGTTGGAGGGAGTTGATTGTCTCTATCAAGTGTCAATTTTAGCTGTGTAACATATTGTTAACTGTTGTCAAAATTATCTTCTCATCCGACTTGAAAAATTCATGTAAATTGCATAAATCAAAAATAAAATCATTGGACTAATGACTTGAATAAAAAGATTCTCGAGAAAATTAATAAATTTACACGTGTTTCTATTTTCATACAATACTTGAAAAAATAGAGTACACAAACTACTTAACTCAATGCACATATTATTCATTTAATAGGTGTATTGCATTTAAAAGTTCACTTGAGTTGATCGTCTAAAGATTTCAGTCTCTGCTGAACAATTATACTATTAATTTAAACATGTATTGTTTTGTAGTTTCATCTCAAGTAAAATTTCGTCTAGAGTCATAACTTAAGCAAATAACAAGAATAAGAGTAATGTTATTTAGTTTCAATGATGTCATACATCAATTAATGTGGAACTGAGGCATTGTCATATTATCTAATAAAATTGGATTAAATTAAATTTTTATTCATGAACAATGTGATGGGTATTTCATTGTCCGATTTCATATTGAAACTTGCTTAGCATGATTGAAAATGAATAGTACTTCTTCCGTTCTAAAAGAAAGACTCGTTTCTATTTTCACACAAATTAAGAAAATATAAATTTTACTTTTTTCTAATATACTATTAACAAGGAAAATGATATATAATTTGGAACAAATGAAAAGGGAAAACGAATATATCTTCATGGAACAAACGCAGAGTTAAAAAGTGAAGATGAGGACAAGAAATAAAGAACATGGAAACGATTCACATGGATGATGGGTTGGCGGTGATTTCAATTGAATGCGAATCACAAGCAAAGGAAATACAAGAAAATGGCCAGTTGTTCTGATCATATTTTCATAAGAATAATGCTTTTTGCAGTCGCTTACTACAGCAGTGTCCTACGTGACATACACATGGCAGGTGGTTATTTGATGCATTAATGAATAAAAAAACTACCACATTAATGTATCAAATAATCACATGCCATATGTATGCCACGTAGGGTGACTGTCGTAGTGAGCGACTACGAATAGCATTACTCTTTTCATAATGACACCTGACCATCACAAAAAAGTTAAAAGTTAAAATGATTAAATTAAATTCCAAAATCCGAAAATACCCTCATCTTCAACCAAGTGTTTGAGTGGAGAGAAATTTTTTTTTTTGAAAAAACTCATACAGTCTAACAATTGAGATCCAGTCGAAGAAGCCATCCTCACAGTCAACCCAATGTCGATCACCACACAACCCCGCCATTATTTTCAACAAGGTTAGTTTTTTTGGAATTGTGAGATTGATTTTTAATTTATTATGTTTCAAAAATTTGTGGATTTATAATGTTTATAATATTTATTCTTCATTATTTAAATATATTATTAAGTATAGACGTGATTTAAGTATTTATTTTGCATTAAATGACATTCTTCTTGTCGAAAATGGTGATTTCCGAAGAAAAAGTCAGCTCGGAAAGAAACAATCGGTCCAGTCAGTCTTTTTTTATTTTTTGGTTGCCCAACTTTTTTCTTCATTTTATTTTCAATTTAAATTTTCTTTTAATTCTTTTCTTTTTATGATAAAACTTAATTTCTTCAATTTTAATTAAATAATATTTGTATTCTTTATTTAATTTTTAAAATTTTCTTTTTTTAATTTTTTATATATTTTTAAATTTATAAATTAAGAAATTTTAATTATTTTTAAATTAAATAAAGAATTTTAAATTGAAATTTACCAAATTAAATATTATTTTTTCCCTTTTAATTTTTTCAATTTAAAATTCTTTTTAAACAAAACTTTACTTTTTTTTTAATTTTAATTAAATAATATTTATATTCTGTTTTTTTTTTTTACTATTTTCCTTTTTTTTTTGGTTTGTCCGCAAATTTATTATTATTATTATTTTTTTTTTATGTTTCTCCCTTGATTTATTCGATCATTTATTTTTTTATTAGCCTGTGTAAAATGAATTCATTTTTTGCATATAGTAGTTATAATTTGATTCTCTTAATTTTCCGAAATTATGCTTTATTCTATTATTCCTTGTTGAAGGTTCTAACATTTGAATTTTTACAATATGTAGTACCATCCGGATGTTAAGTTGAGATAAATGGTGAGAAAAATTACTTTGAACAGTAACTTTGATAGTTTTACTACTACATTGGAGTTGCTTGATGGATAGAGATATGATACGACAGTCATTCGTATGGCCCTTGTATTAGTTGAGAGAAGTGCAGCACTCTGGGGGTAGATCATTGATGCACTACTATGTCGTCTGCTTAAGCCAGTTGATGGCGATGCTCTCTATTTCGACTTTGGGGGCAAGGTCGTTAGTTTCTCTATGTTTGAGTTTGCCTTGATGACTGGACAAAAATCATGGGCGATAAAGCAACTTGTGATGGTATTCAAAGAAGCAATAACACGTATTTTCAGGGACAAAAGAAGATGCTTCTCATGTTGTTGATTGGCATAATGAGGGAGTGTGATGAGATGTTAGGTTGAAGTTATGACTAGTCTATATCCTTGAGAGCGTGGTGAGCTGTCATCACAAAAATACTGCGATCGACCTTTTTTATTTGAAAGTTGTTGACAATATCAATGCCTTCACCAACTATTCGTGAGGGCCGGACATGTTTTGAAGACACCATACACGTCTTCACCAGATCACATTCGAAACCCAAGAGGTCTTTGCATAAGTATGATACTTATGGATTGACCCTGACAGTGCAATAAATGTTTAACATAATAAATGTTAAAATATTTTTTAAACTAAATTTTTATATAATAATTGTATGTATTGCAGATAAGGGCATATGAGAGTTGAGGTGGAGAGCCCTGAGAGGAAAGAGAGGGTGGTGGTCACATAGTGGAAGATATTCTTGAGACGGGGGGAGTGACCTCGATGATGGATGGGGTGACGAACCCTGAGACACAAGAGGGAGGACAGTCCTTGGGGCAGATGATGTACCCTCGACGGAGGGGATGGTGAATGAGGAGAGAACGCTCGAGCGTGACAAAAGGTAAGAAGCGTGCTATTGATGTGTCAGAGCAGGTTATCGACAAGAGGTTGAGATAGTCGTCACAGTACGTCATTTCTCCCTTCACGGCTAAGTCGAAGAGGAGTATTTTTATCAACGGGATGTATCCCAATCTCTTCCGGGAGGTGGAACATGCCAAATGAAAATAGTTCGAGATGGAGTGAAGAATTATGCTCAGGTAAAAATTTTATGATTTTAGTAAAGTACGCTACACTAACTTACCAATGCTTCTTTTAATATTTTTTTCTGTTTCTCTTTTCAGAGTCACATGATAGCTCAAAGGACGATCTCAAATGTTTATAAATGGTTTCATGACATCACGACTTCGGGAGCTTAGCTCGCTGGCGATGTAAGTGAAATGTTATATTGTTATTTATTATGTATGCATAATCTTTTTGTTTATTAAATGAAATAATTCCATATTTTTTATTGGTGTTTCCTAAAGTAACACATTGACCTAGTTATGGACTTTTTGCGCGATCGGGCTCAAAGATATCTTAGCTTATTTGACATTTCTTGCCTAGTCATATTGAGCACCGAGTTCCTATGTGCCATTACCATTGAGTATCAGTCGCTCCAAATCATGGGCAATGAGTATATGGTGTCCGGATATATACTCGAGTGGGTCATAAGGTTGTGAGCATATGTACATTTCAGTGATCGCGAATCATCACTGCTTTGCAGAGGAGATCGTCTTTACTGTTTCCACTAGATATGTGTATGATTTCAGTCATTCGTGTCCGGCATAGGGTCAGCTCAAGTTTAACTTAGAGCTGATGGCTGTGATTGTTCCTTTGGTGGCTAGATGAGTGGGTGATTGTACATGACAGACTAGCCATCGTGTAGGATACGAAGACGGCGAGACGGTCGAGATCGTAAGTAATTTTAATTGTTTTTAATTTGAAAACTTAGTTTTTAACTACATAGTACCGAACTAACTCATTATTATTTGGCAATTATGACATGTTCGCAAAAAAAAATATATATTTAATTTTTAAGTATAGCGCATAAGGTTGATGGAATCAACCAATCCTGGATACAAAATCGAGGGATGAGTTAGCATGCGATTTGTATGAATTCAATTGTGATTCATAAATATTGTATATTTAATTGTAAATATTGTAAAAAAATATATAATATTGTATATTTAATTCTTTATTTAAATGTAAATATTGTATATTTAATATTGAAACAATTGTAAATATTGTAAAAAATGTAAATATTGTTCACATCCATCTAATTGTCATTCAGGGAAATCGGACATGTACAAAATTGGCGAGTTTGCCACGTTGCTCTGCACTTGTCACACCTACGCAGTCGAGAAAAATCTTCGATAGATGTATTCTAGATGTAAATGGCGTCCAAATCAAACGGTTCAATTTGGGGGTGACAACAAACTATTAAGTGAGAAAATATGGTTGGGAACTTTCCACTTGATTTCAATCGGTAGAGAAAATATAGTATCAGCATATGCTGCTCTCCAATAATCAGCCGTGTAATAAGGTGAGCATAATGCTATCGTTGCAAAGCCTCTATACATAGCTACCGCGACTGCATGCTAACATTAAAAACTCTCCAACTAAATCGATTACAAGGACATGTTATTAGTCAAATCCACATGTATGTCATATTACGTGCACATTTCACGGAAAAGCGTAACTTATTCAGTGTTCCACATA